TAACACACACACTGAGCAATTAACACCTAAAGCGTGGAACTACAGTCTACAATCTTTATAGGTTTAATTATTGAATCTGAAGGTGTTTATTTTATTGTTTTTTTTAATAACAGCAGCTCTGACAGTAGCTCCGGCTGCAAGGCAAATCACAGGTTTATATTAATGCACTTGTTGTAATGCTTTATCATTATTACAGTAACAACTTACACAAGGACTTGTATAGCAGACGCTCCATATAAATGCATTAAAAAAAAGTTACTTTCTGAGAGGACATGTTTATTTATCATTTATGGAAGGAGTCTCCAGTGTCAGTGCTTTGTAACAATCAAACGTAAAGCTGTAATTTTAAGTTTCACAACACGGGAAAGTCTTCAGGACAGAGGAAGTTGTGCTTCATGGTTCCTTGGTAACATTAAAAACTAAATTTTTTTGTCTTATCAGCTTCAAGAAAATGTAGAAAAGAGTGAGGGAACGACTGTTTATAGCTGCTATAATTAGGGCTGTAAGACTGACACAAGTCTGGTCTCAAGGCTTTTTCTGTATTGACTTGGAGCTTTGTACTTGTATTTGTACTTGGACTTGTCTTGGTCTTGCTGTCGAATTAGAAGTTTGTAAAAATATTGTTCGTGTTGTCTTTTCTTTTCGCATGCACAACATTTGAAAAGAAGTAATTGCTTTTCCTAGAAAGCAGCCTAATCATTGGCTCAATGCATGAATAAAGCCAACCATCTGAAGTAAAGGATTTGCCTCAAAAAGGACTTGATTTTTGGTCTCGATCTTGACTTGGCCTCAACCACTTTAAGACATGGCCTTGATCTGATCTCGGCAAGTCCTTATCTTGGACTTGTCTTGGATTTGACTATAGCTCAAGCTATAATGTAAGTGACAACAGGATCAAACTTATTTCATGTACGTTCTACAACATTAAATGTAACTTTCAAGGGACAAAAAGTATAAAATGTATGCCATTCTTTAAGAAAAATTAACACTTAAAGCTGTAACTTAAAACCTAAATTGTTTAGTCAAGTCTTAACACTTTTTGTATTTATTAAAGCTGAATTAACTCTTATAGTGTTGAATTAGAACCTAGAGTATTTAATTTCTACAAAAAGTGGTAAATTGACAGTCTGAAGCTTGGCATTCTGGGCTGAATTTCCTCAAGGATGAATTTATTTTCATATCTACAGTGTCACATTAACCCCTAAAACATGTACACATACACAATATATATATAGTATATATAGTACATAGGCAGTGGTAGCTTAGTGGGTAAGATGTTGGACTGCTGATTTTGAGGTTGTAAGTTCAAATCCCAGCACTGCCAAGCTGCCACTGCTGGGGCCCTTGAGCAAGGCCCTTAACCCTCAACTGCTCAGTTGTATAAATGAGATAAATATAAGTCGATCTTGATACGGGCATCTGCCAAATGCCATAAATGTAAATGTATTCCAATAGCCCCAGTCAAAATCCTATTTATCAGGCTTCATGTTTTCTACAAAGCAGAAGTGTTAATTATATAACGTGTTAAGCTACATTTGTGATATTTTTGACCTGCAGTTCGGCCTTGGCTAGCCACCAGTCCGTCTTATAATTAGTCGACAGCAGCAGCCGTTAATTTACCCAAGCAATCTTGTTAGGACGGAAACGGAAAGAGCTCTTAACCAGCATTGAGCGCTTGATTTATTGATTTTCTGATCGATATGAGTCTTCCTCAAAGCTGTGCACATCCGGCCAGTCCTGCTCTGTCCTTCTGCTCACCCATTAGCCGTCACGACCGTCGTCCAGGTCTCAGATGCCATTTCCAGTACCAAGCCTAAAAAAAACCCTTCTCAGTGTCAGATATCAAAGGCTGAAGGACGGCAGCCTAAAAGGCCTCCATGATCAATTCAATGACTCCTCAGGACTTAGGGGTAATTAGGTGATGTCATTTTCAAGCTTTTTTTTTCCCTACCATCACATCTTGTGTTTGACAACCCTCCTTATTGCGATGAAATATTCATGCAATTGTTTTGTACTAACACACACTTGGGCATCTCAAAAGGCTGAATGTTAATGATGTTGTCCTCAGCTAAAAGAGATTGTGTCAGGTTGCCAAAATTTTTATAGATATCAAATATGAATGAAAGAAATAGTTAACTTCATATCATTTTTCCTCTTAGCCCAGTTGTAGTCAATCAGCCAAGATATTTTGATATCTAAAGGTCTTGACACCTGACCATCACATGCTTGTTGAACGTCCCATTCCAGATTTAGTCCCCTCTTTGCTGTTATAATAAGCTCCATTCTCCTGGGAAAGCTTTCCACTAGATTTTGGAGCGTGGCTGTGGGGATTTGTGTTCATTCAGCTACAAGAGCATTAGTGAGGTCAGGCACTGATGTTGGTGAGGAGGTCTGGGGTGCAGTCGGTGTTCCAGTTCATCCCAAAGGTGTTCAGTGGGGTTGAGGTCAGGGCTCTGTGCAGGACACTCGAGTTCTTCCACTCCAACCTTAACACACCATGTCTTCATGGAGCTCG